CATCAATTTAGTGCTACTTGCCCATTGGGAACCTACTAGCACTAAGTTCCTAACTGGTTAGCAAGATGCTTCTGACAAACCGGCCACAACCAAACTTACTTGCAAACCTTCCACCACAACAATCCCCCCCCTTGATAATCAACCAATCACATTCACTATATTCACTTGTGTAAAGTCGTGCACCACTCGGGAGAATTCGGAAATGCGATGGTTGAAACAGCCGTTTCCCTATGACTTTAAAAAAATTATTGCAACACCTTCAAAATGTTTTATACTTTTATGAATGTCCTTGAATGTTTTACCATTTAGATGATGAGATGTATTTGGAATACAATGGACTTGGAATTATCTGACATATCATTCAGCAGGGAGGGTTGATAAAGCAAAACGATTTTTTAAAAATCCTCTCTTGCAGTCATATGTTTTTTTAATTTTGTATCTATTCTAATTTATTTAACCCAAATTGAACCCATTGGCCTGAAAGAAAAATAACCCTCTGACCATAGACTGGTCCGGCTTGTCAGTTCAGGTCGCTCACTCTGTTGGCCGGTCAGGTATATGTTTTTACTTCCAGGGTGAGCCTAGGCAGATGAAAGCATCTGAAGGGCATCGGGCGGACATGGTCCATGTTTTTATAGCTCTGACTGGAGGTCCTCAAATAGTTTTATCATATATATGAGCAAATAAGGTGTAAATGTATTTCAGTCCGATCCTGCTGAATCAATTCAGAATATTCCGACTACCTTGTGTCTTTTGACACAATTGATCAAAACCAGCACTAATTTCTTCAGCGATTTGAATTACAGTATTTTATCTAATGGAAGGAACACACAGCCGTTCCTCTTCTACTTGATCATTAATCTTTCGATCTTTATGACCATTTCAGGTGTTACTGTTATTCCTTAATCACATCATTTCTGATAGATACAACACTTAGAAGTTTTGAAGATGCTTCATCAAGCTTATGCAGATCCTTATGATTCCCAATCTTCTTTGTTTTTAACAGATCTACTCTAAGGACGAAATGTTAACTCGCCTACTAATTTATGTTACTGACAAACAGAAGCAAGAATAAAGTGTTTGTTAACCATGGGTCATAAACTGGAGTGAATTTCATTTTGGAAGATCTAGATTTTTTGCAACATTACCTAAACCAGCATTTCTCAGCTAATGTTATTAAAGAATTATTATGATTATCTGAATATTTGTTATAATAATCTAAGTGTCTCTATAACTAAGATATCTTGTGGTTATAATTATTTTTTGTTTGATTTTATTATTGTCCGTGATTGATTAAACTATGAGAAAGGAGTTTTGGTTCCATTTTATGTAATTTTGCTTAATAAACTAGCAGAGGACCCTTGGCTCATAACCAAGCCATCTCTCCCTTTCTGGGTGTTGCTCATATCATGAGTCTATAAATACACATCACAGCATTTCTGAAGCCTGAACAAAGTCGGAGACTTTTCAAAGGCAAATATCTGACTTTAACAACTTAGACTAGCTTTACTTCTCTTTAAAAAAAAAAGTCACATTTCAGTCTTTCCAATTGCATAACAATTATCAAATAAAAGGGAAAAAACAAAAAAAATAACTACTGTTTGGTAACAGTAAAGTTCTGTTTCTGAGATTGTTTTCTATATTTTTTTTTTGGGAACAAAAAGTTTTTTTAATTTATTTTTGCATTGATTGTATTTACATATAAGAGATTTCTAACATCTTTGGATGAAGAGGTTCAGCTTCACCTCCATGCTTAGATATTGTAGACCAGTTATTCTCCTCTCAATGTAAAATGTTCTAGATCCGCCACTGACCTGTAGTTTATCCGAGTCAAAGTGTATCTGTTTCTACATTATAGAGGAGCTTTGGCCTAGAGTTCGGAAGGTTAGTTCACACCAAACACGAATTGAGCAACCTGAGTGAAGGATTTCTATGTTATCCCAACTATACACTAGAAAAACAATCTAC